AGTGACCTCTGGGGCCTCCACATCTGCACTTAAAAGTCATTATGGAAATGCCATTCACTTTGAAGGCCGAGTTCTATTCAAAGCAGACAGGCCTCACAGCAAAGTGACAGTGACCACAGCCCAGTAAGGACCCTCCCAGGGAGGCAGAGGGGACCAGAGGTGAGGGAAGCCCCGCTTTGCTGTCTGGGAGAATCTTTGAAGTGTATGGAGGCCTCACCTAATCAAACCCACTTTTGGTGGTTTGAAGCATTGCATTAAATTGAGGCGTAGCTGCTTTTCAGGTAGAGTTGACTTGGTTTGAGGGAGTTTCAGGGACTGAACTGAATAGTTTCAATTTTTAACTTTCTTAACTGAAAAGCATACATATGGGAACCATGTTTTCTGAATCCAAATTGGGTTTAGCACTGGACTGTCCCCTAAGACATAGGGCATATTATCAGGCTCTGCAGAAGGCTGGGGGTCTATTTGGAAGGTTCAAGACAACTCACAGGAAAAGTAGACGACGTTTTTTAGTTGGGTGGTGACTTCCAGTCTCCCCTAAAGCAAGTCAACTCTTTTTTTAGGGGTCTTCCAGCAACATTGAGGCCAGAGGCACCAGGGGAGAGAGAGAGAGAGAGAAAGAGAGAGAGAGAGAGAGAGAATGAATGACATGAAATTTCATGATCTTCAAGCATCACCTGGATGTAGAATGAATTAGGTGGTTGGTCATTTTTTCCCAAAATGGGGTGCCCATGACATTGGGTTTGGAAGGTAAAGTAATTAATTGGAAGTTCTGGAAGCTATCTGGTACTTGGGCCAAAATTTGAGAGTAAGGGACCCTGTCAGATGAGCAAGCTGACCCTCATTCTGGATGTGGGGAAACACGTCTCCTTTGCCTGTAGTGCTTATCCATTCAAACCAGCATTTCCCTGGGAGTGCTGAGAGCAGCGCAGCTGGGCAGCACAGCTGGGCTCCTGAGGCGGGTCGGGCAGGACTCGATCTCTTTGGTACACAAGGGAGGCCCTCAGTTTCCCATTTCACCGCCTGAAAAATCACTGACTACCCCACCTCCCTGGGTGGTGAGCCGGCTGGGATGATGATAAAATGATATAGCTCTAGATCATCTAAATTGGAATAATTAAAAAGGACTCTCTTCTTCATGTGCCAGTGGATTCAAAATGACAGAGGCTGGAAAATGAAAAGAAGTTTATGGGAATAATGCCCAGTCCTTCTCTCCACGCAGCCTTGGTCTCCAAGAGCCAGTGTTCCACTCATGGATAGTAACCTATCTTCCCTCCCTTAAGTTCCCTTTACTGTCGCTGTTGGCACCTCCGACATTAAGTGGGTCAAGGGAAGGAGAAGGTTAAAAAACTGGCACCTGCAAACTTTGCATTCTTTTAAGGGCCCAGTGGGAGAGGCTAAAGCAAATGTCTATAATAAATTTAAAAATAAGCATGGACGTAAGTTAACCAGCATATGCACTGTCCAGATGCTGCAGGTAAAAGTGGCAGCACCGCGGGCTCCTATTCGGGGTGGTTTGGATTGTAGTCTCATTGGCTCGACTGGCTACATGTCCTAGGAAGATATTTCAGAATGGATACAACCCATCCCCCAGGGCAAGTGACAGCAAACCATATTTTTTTTCTTTTAACATATTTTATTGATTTTTTATAGAGAGGAAGGGAGAGGGATAGAGAGTTAGAAACATCAATGAGAGAGAAGCGTCAATCAGCTGCCTCCTGCACACCCCCTACTGGGAATGTGCCTGCAACCAAGGTACATGTCCTTGATGGGAATCGAACCCGGGACTCTTCAGTCACCAGGCTGACGCTCTATCTAGTGAGCCAAACCGGCGAGGGCCATATTTTTTATCTAATGAAGATCACAAACTATAGGCAAAAACGCTCAAAGGCTACAGAGAACTAAATACAAAGTTACTTCCCCCAGAAAATTAAAATAACTCCATAGACCTGGTTTATAAGTTAGGAACTGCAAAATAAGAAATCACTAAAGATAAGAAGTTTTCAATCTAAAAAAAAAGTTCTCAATCTATAACTAGTTTACGACTTAGGAGGCTGGTAAGAAAAGAATACCAAAAGCCATTTGTTATAATGGAGAACCAGGGCACCCCCGGGCAGTTAGGACCCTGTGGGGAAGTGACTCATCCCAAGGCAACAGCAGCAGAAACCAGAGCCAGAGCCCAGGACTGTGCACTCCCATGTTACCTCTCAGGAGGTGGCCTTAGAAGGCTAAGAAAGGAGAGAAAGGTCTCAATCCACTACAGAAGAGGCTAGAGGAGGAGATACAGATGGGAGGTGAAGAAACAGATGAAAATTTGGGGGCGTAGAGGAGCACCGACAGAGAATGAACGAACGCATATTAACTCATTCATTCAAAGCAGTAGCCTTTCAAGTATATTAACTCAAAACAGAATAATCCTAGGAAGCTACTGCTACCCTTTCAATTGTTCAATGGCTCTTAGTCTTAAATCTTGGAAGAGTTAGCTCTTAATGGCTGAAATGGGGGAGAGGGAATTATCCTGTGGGTTTCTGGCAAAAGCAATTATACCTGTGGGCTGAAAGATATCAAGCTAAGAACCACAGGTTCCCAACTCCTAAGGCAGACATGAGGAGGACATATGGCCGCTTGTTCAGTTCTAAGCAAAATACTGTGTACAGCTGCTGTAGAGGCGTCTCATTGGTAGACCAGCAAGCCGCAGCATTTGGCTGTTAGCAGTCCACATCTGCTACTAATAAGGATTAGTCAGTAATTTTCTAAACCATCACGTTGGTAAGTTTTCTGTAACAAGTTATTAGCTTTTCAAAGAGAGGACTTTGTGCTGGTTCCACCCAGCTTTCTTTTCTTTCACCAGACATTTGTTTAGTGTGATAACATCTGATCAGCTTTCAAGTAACTTGACTTTTCTTGGCTTCATGAGGTATCCTACAGTTCAAGGTGTATTCTCCTTAATGGAGACACTGTTTGGAATATGTAACTCCCCTGACACTCAAAAGCACAACATTCTTCTCAAGCAGTTGTCCTGAAGTTAACAGTAACCTGGACAGAGTTCTCAGGCCATCAAGAGCAAGGCACCTGAAGGTGTAGAAAAAGGCATCTTCTCACCCTTTTATTTCCTCCCGAGTGCAGTCTTTCTCCTTTGCACCCATCCTGTTTATCAGGGTGATACATTAACCACCCGTGGTGGGAGGGAGATGTCCTGACCAACCACCTTCCGTTCTCATGGATTTCACCAGCTTTAATGCCTGTATTTCTCTGCCAGTGACAAGACTGGCAGCCTGGGATGAGCCAACTTCTTCGCTCTAAATTGTAAAACAAAGCAGGGAATCTGTAAGTTAGCTGATTTGCAAGTCACCTTGTAAACACTTGTTTTTGTGTACCTATTCTCTCCCCCAGGTAGTTACCTGGCTGCCATCCTGACAGGGCCTGATGTGTTGCTCCTCCAGCAACCAATGCTCCTTCCTTCACTCTTAAACAAATCAGCTTATTTTGTACCATAAAAAACACACAACAAAACAAAAG